AATTTTAAAGGTTGCATCGGGTGAGCAACAGTTTATCGATTCGAGAATTTAATGCGCTGATGAGAAAACGAAAACTCGTATATCGGGACGATAAAGTGGCCGGTAAACTAAAGGTTAGATGAGAAAACGGCCCTAAGTGAACAGTTTTTCAAATAATGGAATTAAAAGTTCTCAAACAGATTAAAAATGGCAACCGAAATGCGATATGGCGCATTAGATGTTGTGGCCGTCGACTCTGGAGGCGATCAACAACTCATTACTTATTGGTCATCTGGCAAAAGCTGAGCTTTGAACTACATACATATATACTCTCTGCTGAAGGAGGACAAAATACGTATGTAGATATTGGGCCGTTTGAATAAAAAAGAAGCAATTGCTTTTTCTTAAAATTTCATATATTTTTCGAAGTGCTGATTATTACAAGCAGACTTCAAACATATTGCATTTTAGTACATTGGTTTTTTAGAAGAAAAAAACTGGTTTACTTGCAAAGGGCAAAAATCTCGATATACACTAAATTGACCCTAGAACGTGTAAATTTATTTATTTCTTTTACTTCAACTTGGCTGAACTTGGCAGAAAATTTCTAAAGCTTACATATAATCCATATTTTTATCACAAAAAGAGTTTTTTGGTTAAACTATCTGTTTGGTAAGTGTACGATATGGTTTCCAAATTTCACAAGTTTAAATCTGCGATATACCGCACATAAATCAATTGGGATGATATACCGTACAAATATTGGGAAATGACTTTGCAAGAAGGTGGGCTGTGCAGCGCGGACAAATTTTGTGAAGTTAATTCATATATTGCGAGGAAAAGAAGTTGTTTTTCGAATTTTCACGCGCAAACACAACAGATTATGCACTTTGGAATTATGCTTTTGAAACAACTTCCAAATTTATTTTTAACCGACTTAACACTATAAAAAAAAAATTTAAAATACCAAAAAAAAAAGTTTAAGTTTGAACTAATAGTTTTGAAACACCTTAACTTCGAACTTTAATTTTCACAGTTTAGACTTCACAAAAAGAAGAAAGGTTATCAACTCGTCCGAATGGTTTTTTTATGTATTTCCGAAATTAACGAAATAACGTTTTTGCTTAAAAATAATTTGCTTTTAATAAAATTTAAAAAACCATAAAAAGGCGATATTTTATAGCAAAAAAATTAAAAAAACAAAAAAAAAAAATAGAAATTACTAAACCACATCTGTACTTGTGAATTTACTTTAACTAACTTTTAAATCTTAATTAGGTAGCGAATAAATCAGAACAGGATCCCAATTTTCACAATTTTTAACTTTATTGCAACTTGTTAAAAATTAAAATGTAATTTTGGCCGAAAGTTCGAATTTTTTTAAAAAAGAAGCAAAACTGTGTGTGCCTGCCACTTATTTACTCCTTTCCTGGGCTTTGTACGACAGTTCTTTAGTTATCGACATAGATATGCTATTAAAATATTTATTTCTTCGTACTCACCTTTTTTGCGTATTCATTATCCAACTTTACGAAGCAATCAATGACTGTGTTGCGTTGTGACAAAAACCGGTGACAGCAAAAACTATGATATGGAATTCGCAATAAATGCAAAAAAGTCAGCAAGTTTCAACAAAGAAATGTACGCTCTTCGGTTTCACTTGTTCTTCAAACAAATTTTCAAAGAATTCTAAATTTAATACTTTTTCCACACGTCTACACACGTTTGCATACGCAATCTGTGTATTTCTTTTTTTTTAACAAACTGGCGCTTAGCTGTATTTATTTACACTTTTTCTGTAATATATGTATATGTATGTTTGTAACTACTGCGCTGGTACTTAAAATTATGAATTACACGCTTGCAGGATAATCACTTAATACTCAGCAACGCTCCGTTCACTTTTTTGTTGGGCTTCTTGTTGAGAACTTTTCCCTTTTTTTGTTGCTTGAATGCGTTGACTGGCAACTAATGCTGGCTTTTTTGAAACACTTTTCTTTCTAAAGCTGTTCTTCACTTTTGATTTTGATTTTTTTTTTCCTCTCAATTTAGTTTCTCGTCTTACATGTGATTAAAATACTGTTTACTTACTTGTTTATTGAAGCTTTTATTTTATTTGTGTTTGATTGTTATGTTCTTTTTATGAACTTCTGTTGTTTTGTTTTACACCTGCTTTTGGCTTAGGTGTTTCTTGTACACATGCATGTACTTACGTTCGTACATACATACATACATATGCTGATGTTGCGACCACACGCGCAGCACAACAATTTTACTTATGTATGAATGTTCCACTGTCACATGTATTTAATTTATTTACAAGAATTTCTTTAAGCCGTCAATTTAAATTGATGTCGTAGTTACTCGGAAACTTTGTGGCTAAAATGAGTAGAGAAAGAGAATAGGTTAGGGAAAAGCATGTACTTGTACACACTCTCATACTTGGTGGATATTTAATCCCTTTAAGAAAACGAAAAAAACAAAACATCTTCTTATAGTAAAGTTGATGCTGTGTAGGCGTTTAAATGTTGTGTATCGACAGGAAAATTTATTAGACCGACTTTATTCTCTGATATGCCTTTCTTGATATATTTATTTCTCCCATTTGAATTGATATAGAATGCTTTTCAAAACCAATGACAAATACTCTACACTTTTTTCAAGGCTCTAGGTCTGATTATGGCACCTTAACTTAACTTAAAATAATGCAGAACTTAGAAAATCAAAGTGAAACAGTTTTCGATGTGACTTTAAGTAACGTTAAGTTGTGCTTGTACAAATATAAAAATAAATGGATGTTGCCATTTAAGATAATTTTTAAGTCACAGCCCCTAAGTTACATTAAGTTGCCAGAGTCAGGCTTTATTTTAGGCACACTCACTAATTTAGATTTACAAGTCATGTTTAAGTGTTTTCATTAAATTCAGCTATTTCGCTCACTTTTCAATAAAAAAGGCAATAAATTATTTATGCACTAAAGAATAACAAACTTTGATAAAATTGGAATAGTTTCAACAAAAAAACCCAGCTCATGTAATCCAACTTACAGTGGAACAGTCATCAAACTGAACTCTTCAAAACTTCACGAGTGAGGGCTTTGGAAAAGGTAAGGTCCTATTATTTAGGAATAAGGACAAGCTAGGCTGCCAGTTCTCGCTAGTTCTATTCCCTAGAGATGATATACATAGAGTAGTAATTTTCGAAAGAAGTTTCAATGTTTATACCTTTACTATGGAGAGATACGTGCAGGCGAGCACACTGCAGTGACGCACAGTCGGCTCAAAGCAGTCGTATATGGTCCTAGACTGAAGCTTTCAGTACCCTTGACAGCCCCCCCAGTATCTTCCCAGTCTGTGTGTAGATATTACCCTTCGTAGGAATTATCGAAGTGAAAGCATCCTTATATTAAGTGATAGTCACGCGGTACTTATGGCACTCTTATTCTTAGATGTAAAATTTTCATTGGTCCTGGACAGGCATAGGCAGAGAGTTAGCAGGTGCTAAACGAGCGTAAGCGTCGTGTGTAAGCAAGAATGATAGAATACAAGATTGCGCCGATCAGAGAGGATTTTTGAGAATAACTTTTGTGTGACGTCACACTGGTGCAATTGCGAGAGAGAAATGCCAAAATGTGAGCAAGAATGGAAGAAGAAGAAAAAATGTTGCAAGGAAAACGTAAACAAGTTGCACAAGTGGGACGTCATGCAAACAACGATTCTGTCAAATTCGTTAAGAGAGGAATAGCGGTTCGAGATCAGCGCAACCTTTGTATTCTCTCAATCGTAGTGTGTAAGTATACAAGCGAGAGCGCAGCGATAAGAACACGACAGCATGCAAAATGAATTAGGCACACTAACATATTCTCACTTTTAGCTCACGCTTGTTTGTGGTAGTGCCAACCTCTGGTCCTGGAGTTTAACGAGAAGCTTAATGCCCTCTCTGAGAACAATGCTACCCAACTGATATCGTTATCATAGCACATGGGGGTCTAAGGAAATGAGGAAGCCGATCAGTTGGCCAGATCTACATACATATATCGAGCGATCTATGTCGCCCTTGTGACTCTACCAAAAAAAAACATTATTGCGCCTGCTCCTGAAATGTATGGCCGCTTCAGGGCGAGGAGAGAGGTGCATAGGTCATCTATGGCCAAGAAAAGAGCACATACACTCCAAACTAACTAATTCTACTCTGAAATCTATAGCGTTGTTAGGGCTAGATGCAGTGTTGTCATGCGCTGGAGGCACAATAATCCAACTGGGCGGAGTGCTTACTCTATTTATATCTAAATATCTATGCACTATGGGAAATTTGAGCCTATTTTCTGGCCAAATGTCAATTTCTTGACTTGCTTGAAATTCATTCTTTTTTTTGTCTTATCTTACAGAGAATACTTCACAGTAAAAAATTGTTTACTCTGTTTTTCGATAAATTGACTTACCGTTGATTTGGTAACCCTCAAACAGATGTTTTAGAAATTTTCTGTAAACGGAAAATGTGTAGTTTGATTTTGTGCCACTTTCAAATGCGTGTATCTCGTAATCTGTTTGTTGAAAGAGTGACGGTTAGCAGAATATTTACCAGTTAAAACTTGTTTATAGTTTAAAGGTTGTGCCAAAGATACGTCCGCATTTAAGTGACTTTAAAGTGAAATTGTACAATTAAAAAAAAAAAGTTTATTTAGTGTTTTAAAAAAATGCTTAAAAAACGTTAAAAAAAACTCATCATAAATCGGTAGAATAGTCCCTAGTCTCTTATTTACCCATAATCTTATGCTGCGATTTTGTGCGAGATTAAAGAAATTATAATTTCTCTTAGGTAACTACTTGGTGCAAAATCATGAGTTTTATGAAATAAATCACGGTATTATAATTTAAAAGTTGGAAAAAACCTGTCAGATAACAAAGAGAAAGTTTTAAACTTAAGGTCAGTGGAGGATTCGAGTCGATATTTAAAATAGAACGAACGAGGCGTCTGTTTATTGGGTTGGTGTCCACTGGACCCCGAGTGACCATTACGCTATTTTTTGGAGGTGTGACCATTACGGGTTAATTTTTGCGCTTCAAGGCCACTACTTCTAGTCCTACTACTGGGCCAAGTTTTAAATTGATATGTGAACTTTTAGAATTTTGGGCACAAAATAGGGCCAAATTTCCTATAGTGATATGTATGTATTTAATGCAACTAAGTCTCTAAAAGAATTTTTTTTTTTAAGAGAAAGTACTAAACAAGTTGTGCTTAATTATTTCCTGCGACAGGCGAGCCATATACTAAATAGTTTTAGAGCAAATGATATTCGTGGTTAGAGCGTGGTATCTAGTAGTGTTCATTATCACCTAACATCGATTTATTGCATTTTTTAACCGACTTCCAAAAAAGGAGGAGGTTATCAGTTCGTCGGAATATTTATTTTTGTTTTTTTTTTTTGTTTTTTTATGTATGTACCGCATAACTTTGGACCACGTCAACCGATGTCGATAATTCTTTTTGCATCGGAAAGGTAGTGTCAGAGGTGGTCCCATACTAATCTGGTTAAGATCCGATCAGTGGATCATGAGATATATATATGTATATATATTTTTTTTTTTTATATGAGAGTTGAAGTCGGTTTTTTTTGCTAAAAATTACTTGTTTACATTTACATTCGGCAGTAAAAAATGTTTATGAGTACATACAAACTATTTACAAATGTTCGATGGTGGCTAACTTAGGGCTGCCATAAGCCTGAACCCAACGACCAGGACACTTATCATCCAAACCACACAGTTGTTCTTGTTCTGGCGTTGCATTATTTTGAAGTAAGTAATTTCTGAGAATATAAGCAATGTAGTTGGTTATGATGTGTTAGTCTTGAGCAGCCCGAGATGCGAGCAGACAAATGTACATACTTATATATGTAAATGAATAGTATTTTTATGTGAGCAGTGGAGGAGGATTTCGCGTCAAATTGTTTTTACTGTAGGATGATGTTATCTTTTTATCCTTCCATAGAATTCACTTGAATATGATGGCAGAATAAGAGTTTAAAACAAAATTGGACGGCGGAAAACGTTTGGGTTAAAACTCAACCAAGCGCACCGTGTACAATTTATATTGTTCGTACTACAAATTTGTGTAGATAAAAATAATATATATATAAAATCTGAGCTACAAGAAAAAAATGCCCCAATCTTTTGTTTATATATATATTGTATAATTGCGGATTTGTGTGAGTTTAAAAGTCTTTTGTTGTCTACCAAAAAATTGTGCCTTTTCATTTCCCCATTCTTTTCGAGTTCCAATAAAGGTAAACCCTGGAGAAAATGTTGTGTTCGCTATTTAAAATGTCACACTGTAGTATGGCAAACAAAGGAAATTCTCCGCATTTTTCAGCCTTGTCAGGCGAGATTTTTGCTTCGAAAATTAAATGGTTGCATGAGCTAGACAAGCATAATGAGGCAAAAAAAAAAGGCGTGAGTACTAGGTACTAATGAAATTTGATGTGTATACATATACGAACGGCAAAGCATAAAAGTACGTTTACATATAAATATAATCTCAATCAAAGCTCGGTAGCTGTCAAATTGGTTGTGCTCGTTATTCACACAACTCGAGGAAAAGTTAAACTTCTTCTCTGTGCCACCGTGGTCACTTTTTTTTGCAGCACATATTAGGCCATTTAAATATATTTATAACTGAATATTTTATTAAAAATACCTTTACAAACCTATTTTCCTTACTAGCGTCAATTTTTGTTTACTTTAATATTTGACATTCCTCCTCTTCTTCGCAAGTATAATCGATAACACTAAGTTGGACACCAAAAAGTTATCGGTTTAATCTGAAATATTTTTAATTACAATTTTGCATGGCTAATCTCTTTTCTAATAACAGATTAGGTAGTTAAGCTCGAAAGTTAGGATAATCTTTTTATATGTAAATCTATTATTAAGCGATTCAGTTACATACATACAAATGTAGGTTAGGTTAGAAATTAAACATTAATTTCACTTAATTTTATTAATTTTTCTGATTTAATTTTTTATTCATTTTCATTTTTAATTATTTTAATACATGAAATTATCGTTATGATTGATAAAATATACTTGTATATACTTGTGACTCCAGGGCGTTAAAATATCTTGGAAACACCGCATCAGTTAATGTTTTTGAGCTTATAGTTTGAGCATTTCTATTTGTATATATTCCTAAATTTACCAAAATAGACTACTAAACCTATGCCTAAAACCATCTACGAATATCAAAACCAGGGCATGAATCACGTATGACGACATTCGTCTGACCGATATCGTGTCGAGATTGTCTTGTTTCATAAAAATCAAAAATTGTTTGATCGTTTGTGCGATATCGTCAACTCGATTCCAGTTTTGCTTCACGTA